ATAACTTGAAAAGTATGCATCACATTCACATAAAACTTACATTTTCAGAATCAGCATACTCAGTGGTGTATCCTGGTTTTGTGCTGCCCTACGCAGGACAAAACTCAGGCACCCCCCCCGCGCCACCCCCACCCGCGCAACCGCCACCCAACCCTTCCCCCCTGCTCCGCCTTCTAAATACACACACACATATTCACTAACAAACACACTCACTCACTAACAGACACACACACTCACTAACAGACACACTCACTAACAGATACACACTAACAGACACACACACTAACAGACACACACACACTAACACTAACTTACACACACTAACACTAACATACACACACTAACACTAACATACACACACACTAACATACACACACTAACAGACACACACACTCACTAACAGACACACTAACAGACACACACACACTAACATACACACACTAACACACACACACTAACACTAACATACACACACTCTCATACACACACTAACACTAACATACACACACTCTCACTAACAGACACACACACTCACTAACAGACACACTAACAGGCAAACACACACACTAACAGACACACACTAACAGATACACACTAACAGACACACACACTAACAGACACACACACACTAACACTAACTTACACACACTAACACTAACATACACACACTAACATACACACACTAACACTAACATACACACACTCTCACTAACAGACATAGTCTCAGGAACTTATTTGGATGTCTGTAGGTGCATGAGTTATGGTGAAAGGTGGTGTTGGTTAGAAAATCAGTAAAATTCAAACACGCGCCGCCAGTCATATATCATGCTATTAGTACATTTTAATTAATTTAAATTAATTAAATGAAACCAGTATAATTACCAGTTGAGTAGATATTTCATCCGATTGGTAGATAGTCTCAGGAACTTATTTGGATGTCTGTAGGTGCATGAGTTATGGTGAAAGGTGGTGTTGGTTAGAAAATCATTAAAATTCTAAGTGTTAGAGTTTTAAGAGTAGAGTGTTAGTCTCAGATGTTGTCCTGGGTTTCTCTGCATGTCTGAGTTGGAGTCCCCAAACTTCCAATTCCTCTCTCTCTTTTTCCTTTTTTTCCACCCTCTGTCTTCCCTTTGTCCTAACTTTTAAAGGGCCAGACTCTCTGTACGTCATTAATTGATAACCCAATAGCAACACTAGAGGTGTGCCCAATCTAAGGATCGCAATTTAGGTATTTGATCCATAGATGGCAGTCTCGTCCCACTAAACATACCTATCCAGGAAAGAGTTAACTTTTCCTGGTGGCTATTTTGACGTCATTTTGGCTTATCTTTATAGTGGCCATAACTTATGTTTTCTTTCACTTCAAAGGGTTTTCTCTTAGTTTTGTCCAGACTTAGTGTCCGCAATTCCTGCTATAATTTCTAAAATGGCAGTTCGTGAACTAAGTTTCACCTTTTCCGTACAATGGTACCTTATAAAATTTAGAAAGTAAAATTAAATTATTTAATCTTCTCTGTCACAAATGTCTGGGTTTAGAAGTGATCTATTCCATTAGCATTTAGACAGTCTGTCCAATCCCCGTTCTCCTTATCACTTGGTTTGTATATACTATGCATTCCTTTAGCTCTGGGAAAGTGGTTAGTTTTACAGATAGGATAGAAATTTCGTGTCTCTTTGTTAACTTGAAAATAACAAAATGGAGTCTGGTCTGTTCAGAGTGACTCAGAATATACACTTTTAATTTCTATCATAGCACAAGATGTCTGCTGATATAAATACCCTGACAGCTCCCACCTATCTATCGTCCCTTATACACAAGTATGTCTCGTCTAGGCCCTTATGATCTGCTGAAGACTTACGTCTATCTTCTGTCTGGACTCCCACCTCTGATGCTCGCCTTCAAGATTTCTCAAGGGCTGCACCGTTCCTGTGGAACTCGCTTCCCTCCTCCGTTAGATGCTCACCCAGTCTCCACTCCTTCAAAAAATCGTTAAAAACCCACTTCTTCATAAAAGCGTATCAATTAAACTGTTAATAGCTCCCGACTGATTCCTCTCTTGTAACTGTCATGAGTCTAATACTTCCCTTACCTTTTGTGTCACTATACCCCACTCCCTCTAGCATGTAAGCTCATTGAGCAGGGCCCTCAACCCCTCTGTTCCTGTGTGTCCAACTTGTCTGGTTACAACTACATGTCTGTTCGTCTACCCATTGTAAAGCTCTGCGGAATTTGACGGTGCTCTATAAATATCATAATAATAATAATAATAATATTGAGCTAGCTCACCAGTAGTGCACAAAAATAGCAACTAACATTACCAAAGTAGGCTAATTTCCCGGTAGTTTGAAAGACATAGTGTGTGGTTATTAGAACCACAAGCTATATCCTGTCCACACAGCTTCTATTTTTTAACCCTGACACTTTAGACCGTTCCCTAAAGCAGTTTAAATATACTGTGAATCATGCACAAATTGTAGATTATGCTAACGTAGTGTACCTATAATCTTAATTTTAATAATGACAGGAGGTGAATATTTTGCATAACAAGTCAATCAGAAAAAACTTTAAACCAATCAGTAACAGGCAACACATCCATATATAAAGCCCTGACAGACACATGTCTTTCTTTGATGCGAAAAACAGTCTATTATAACGTCAGGGAATTCAAATAACAGTCCTGAGTAACGTGTAGCACATAACTTGAAATGAAACTTGAAATGAAACTTGAAACCTTCCAGCTTTATCTTGTCGAATCCATCTATGATGATTACGCTGAAAAGAAAAGAAATACGTGAAAGGTGATGGAACCCAACTGTTGTCCACATTAAATCCAGTACTATACGTATCTATATTTATATTATGTTAATATACTGAAACATTAAACAACCATTGTATACTTAATAATCAACACAGATCTAACACATGTCAACCAGATAAGCATCCCATAAATATACTGAAATACCAAAACCTTATAAATACACTGAGAAAATGACAAACCAGAATAATAAAATTTTCCAGAGTATAAGGAGGGAAACAGGGAGGGAAAATATTCGCCTCCTGTCATTATTAGAATTAAGATTAAAGGTACACTACGTTAGCATAATCTACAATTTTATCACATGACAGGAGGTTTCATGTTTCTGATACCCGACGAAAAGACCTAAAAGTAATGTGACTACGGCTGACGGAGGGATAGGTCCATGTTATCTAACTAGTTCCAAAAGAACCAAATCAAAGTCCCACAACAGTGATACTTTGACGCATGGTTCTGGACAGTTTGATACCCCGCAGAAAGCGGCATATCAAAGGCTCCTGATCGACCAGAGTGTCGTGAATCGTACTATGAGTCGTCAAAATCGCGGAACATATCCCGTTAATGGAACAGTCTGATCGTTCCTATCGGCCCGTAGCGAAAAGGTATGATAAAGATTCAGCATTGAGGAGATAGGGGTAATAAAGGGATCGCAGTCCCTTCCCATACACCAGCGACTCCAGGTGTTCCTTCGGATAAGTTATTTCGGGGAATACCTGGTGTCCATAATAGGTCTCTAGTTGGTTGCGATAGTCCCTTGACATACCAGTCTCCCCTGAAAGACACCAATCCACCAACTCCTTTTGGATTTGCACAAAGGCAAGTTAAAACTGAAGGAGCAGAAGATGACCCCGATTAAGGACAACCATTCTGGGTGCCACGCTTGACTCCTTAGTCAAGTCTTCGCTATTCTGATCCCAATTTCATAGGTGTGTCCAGATCTCAGGCAGTGAGCTTTCAGCCGCTGTCTGGCCCAGTAATGAAGCGGTCCTGGGAAATAGTCAAAGGGTTATGGTGCCTTTCCGCCGTACCCGTCGAATTTCCTTTCGAATCGTCGCTATCAATGATGTGGGAAGGTGTAATCTGCCCAAGGTGGAATCTATTCCGAAGTAGAGGAACTGAATCACTTGGAACTGGGATCGAACCGACTCCTCTCTGTTCACTATGAATCCCAACAATTCCCAAAACTGTAAACATAAATCTCGTTTGTAAACATAGTCAGAAATTGGATTTGCAAAAGGTCAGTAAGTCGTCTAGGTATGCAACAGTGGATACCCTTTGCTCTTCAGTGCGCCGTGACCGACTTCAGAAACTTCATGAGGCACCATGTGAACCAGTAGGTAAGTGTCCTTCAAATCCAACCTTGCGAACCCCTTTCGAGGAGTAGATCCCCTAAGAGGTGGATACCTTCCTTCTTGAGTTGTCGGTATGCCCCAAAACCATTGGGTTGGCGTAGGTTGATGACTGGGTGATAGTCTCCTGTCTTCTTCCTTACTACCAAACTGTTGCTGAGATAAATGGTTCTCCAAACAATAGTCCGTCCGTCTGAGGTCCTCGCTCTTTCATCCCTAACTTCAATAGTTTGAAATCCATCTTTAATCAGGCTGCTTTGCACCGTTCTGTGCACCTGTCTGCCTTGCGTTCCCCAACCTATATATTGCCCTTTGCACCCATTCCCTCACATCGTGAGCTTCTAAAGGTGAGTCTTGGGTGAGGTCAGGTCCGCAAAGTGTAGAATTTTTTTCCTGGGGCTGATCATGTCCAGTATTTCATCCTAACTCGTTTTGAGTCCTTCTCCTACATGGACCCTTTTACATGGACCCCGGTCTGATCGGGACATAAATATCACCACAGTGATACCAAGCTCTATGGTGAGGACTATCTTGTTTGGTAATAGAGGGCGTGGGCATTCCACCCTGAGCTTGTCTTGGACTTCTTTTCCCATAGGCCTCCTAAGCCAGAAGTTGGCAAAGTGTGCCCGGTACTCCGGTAAACCCCATTCGGATGACCCTGGGTGTCGGATGGTGCGTGAGTCAAAACAAGAGTGTGCCAAAGAGAAACCTTTCTTGCTAGACGGGTCTTGTCACTTTACCTCTTCAGATGGAGACTCTTCTGCTCTCCATTATTTCATGATCTCCAGAGAAGGGGGAGGGATGAAGTTCTCGTCCCCTGATGATGGAGCCTGAGATGATTAATGGACAGGATGTTCTGAGAAACGGCTCCGCTAAGTCGGGGGGTTCCCTTTCCCCTTTGGAGAAGCCGCGTTGGAGCCCTTCCAATGGTGTTTAGATGATAAGGTGTCTGACCTAACGTTGTCGGTATCTCTAGCTTCCATTGGTGTTGATGCTGTTGCACCCGCCCTGTCGGATGGGTTGTTAGCCAGCTGCCATGGCGGCCTTAATCCTTGCCTGAAAATCGGTCGGGGATATTGAGTGAAGTCCGACATGGTGGTTCACACCCTTTCGGACTGTGGGAGACAGGATCGTACAACAGTACACTTATTGCCACTCAGTGGGCCTCCGCGTATAACTGGGGTCACCCAGAATTTAAATCAATCAGTACCACTTTCGCAGGATCCGGGGAGTGGTCTGAGAATGAGGACACCCTCAGTAAGACCGGGATGAGCGGTCTGCAATGTCGGGACGTTGGGACGTGTGAAAGCCTCAACATGTATAATCCAAGGGGGTCATCCTTATATGGCCTAGAATTGTGGAGTTTTGGCAGCACTGTGAGTTCTCCTTCTCAGTTAAGGGAAGGGCGTACGGATCCCCCAGTTGAAGCATTGAGGAGCCAGAATACATGCATCTAGTGCTCCATGGTCTGGGCATACAATGACAGAGCGTACTCTGAAGGTAGAAGCCCTAGAAAGGGCGCGGCAGGTTCCCCCCCCGTCTGGCAGGGGGGTCACCCCTTTGTATGTATGCCACTAGCACCGGAGTAAGACTCACTTGGGGGTCACCCAGCGTAGGGGGGTTACCCCTGTATGTTTGTCTCTTATGGCATGTTGGGACACTATTTCAGTCTGTGGGGTATCGAACAGGTGTCAGGTATGGTAGTACACTTATTGCCACTTAGTGGGCCTCCACGTACAACTGGGTGTCACCCAGAATTGTTTAATTCAGTACCACTTAGAGATTTCCTGGAAGTGGTCTGAGGAGGGGGTCACCCTCAATAAGACCGGGATGAGCGGTCAGTAATGTCAGGACGTAGCCCCCATAGGGGTCAGGGGTCACCCTTATGGGATATAGTACTGTGGAGAATTGGCAGCATCGTGAGCTCTCCTTCCTGGCTCTGTCGATAAACATGTATCCAGTGTGTCCCAGTCTGTGCATACAGTAACAGATCGTACTCCGTGGATATGAGCCCGTCCTAGGGCGTAGGGGGTTCACCCCAGTGTATGTATGTCACTAGGACAGTAACCAAATTCACTTGGGGGTCACCCAGCACAAGGGGGGGTCACCCCTGTACCACAATGTCACTTGGGAGAGGTGTTTGCCACGCTTGGGGGTCACCCAGCAAAAAGGGAGGGGGTCACCCCTGTTAATCACTCTGTTATGTGCCTCCACTACGGTGTCCTGGGAGGTGTATCCCTGTGGGGAAGGAGTGTATCCAGTGGTTGTGAGGTCCAGTGGGAGTAGGGAGCTGAGTAAGTTATCAGCTCTATTTAATTTCCCTGCCAGCAGATAGAGTAATGCATCCACTATATGCACACAGCAGGGAACAGTCAATTCATAATCCTCCAAACGTACAATAAAACTGTTATTCAGATGTTGCTGAACCACACGAGCACGCCAGTGACCACCTACAAAAGGGGCCTCATTATACATCTTCTCACGGCAGCAAGATCCCTCATCCCAACGCTGTGGAGAAGCCAGGTAGCCCCTACATTTCGCCAATGGGTAGATAGGGTGGAAATGATCTACAACAAGGAATTGATGACTGCGTCTCTGCAGGGGCGCTCGGATAAATGAGCTCTAACATGGTTTCCATGGATGGAGTATACGGCCAGGGGAGCCGCGGGGGATGCCCGGTCCGGAGTTGGTGGTGCTCCCACACCGGCACAACTTCTCCCACCCCCAACGGACTGACAGATACCCGTAGTACTTACCAGCAGGGGGGTGCACTTCTCTAACCACATGGCTATGACTTCTCCCTCCCTTCCCCACCCCAATTTCCAGACAGACGACAAACTGGGGCGACTACGCGGGAGCAGGCTCACAAGTTCACCTATCCACTAACCAGGCACGCAGTACATTTGGGGAGCTGGGAGGGGGACACAGGGCAAAGGATGGCATTAGGCCATGTAGGCACAGGGGGGTGGGGGGATGGCGGGGCTCTCGAACCTCTTTGGGGTGGGTGGGAGGTGCACATTCAGGGGGGGATTGGGCCAGAGGGTGGGAGGCTAACAACGCCTCCCGGTGGACGGGGAGGAGACCCTTTGGCGCTCTCAGTCCCACGCTCTTGGTCCGATCTGGGCCTCGGGTTAACTAGGTAAAATGGCACCCGATTTGATCCCTAGAAGACTCCAGCCTATCACGTTAGGGGTTGGGGGAGGGTACAGAGGCGTCAGAGGGCACCCTGCAGCTAATATATATCTCACACGAACCACTACACCAGTCTGGAGGGTCGGTGGATACCACTAAGGCTTAGGGCCACGGGCTGGCTCAATAGTTGGCTGTCAAGAGTAGGGCAGTAGACGCTAAATGTAGATTCGAACCCCCGCTTCACGATGTATTAGGGAAAGCCGCGCCGCCCACACCCCGCTTTTCGCATCTATCTCATGTGTCCCTTTGAAGTATTAGGACTGCGGCCACGGTTGTTGCCAAGTTGTATCTTTGCTGTTTTAGTTACGGTTCTATTCATTTGTAAAGATAATCTCAACTGTCCTGCTGTACTATCAGCCAACGGGGACTATTGTGTCCTTCCTTCATTGCCTGTATAAAGGTTGCCAAACCTGTCTGAATATGTTCTTTGTACTCTGAGACTGCTTTAACTGTACTGTATTAAATAAATGAAAAATAAAGAATGTAAAAAGCAAACAAACTGTTATTCAACATGACCATTGTATAGAACAGAATAGATCAACCTGCCAGCAGATATGAGTACTGCATCCACTATATGCACACAGCAGGGATTAGTCCTACATATTCATGCAGAGTTACATATATTTTTATTTCACATGCCAATGAAATATGACAGTATAGAGCTCAGCAGTGAACAGTCCACTCATTATCTTCCAGAAAAGGTACATATAAAACCTTTATTCCACATGCCCATGATATGTATTAGTATTGAGCTCAAAAGTACTTGTAAAACTTTTATTTCACAGGAAAAATATTTTAAACAGTACAGATCTAGCTGCCAGTTCGTGGGAACCACGAACTGGCTAAACGACATGGCCGACGTGAATCTTGCAAGTGCCGCAAGATTCAAGATGGCCGTCGTTCGCGCGCAAAAGTGCCGTGTGGCCCGCGATCGAGGATACGATCACGCCCCCTGGTATGGAACAGTCTCCCCGATACCCCCAACCCTCAGAGACCTGCCCTGAAGTCCCAAAAAAAAAACATGATCGCGGTAAACCGCTGCGATCCGTGCGAGACCAGAGTAAAGCATAGGAAAGAAAAGGTGCCAGCAACAGAAAACAAACAGGCTAATAAAGCAGTAACATACAGGGTTAATTCGGGGGAAAGGTAACAGGGGGAGAATATCACACTATACAAGTCCAAATGGAAGGCAAGTGCAAAATAATGAAAAACGTTTAGGTCAAAAATGCAGGACAAGCATTGTTGCAGTATCTCTCGTGCAGAGAGAACTTGCTGGCATTTCGGATCTGGACTGCCCGTATGGGTGGGACCAGTCTGATATGCTTCAGATATGTTCTCTCTGTAATGGCACAAGATGAGCTAAAACCAGCTTGAGTTCTGAGCGGGGACCCACCGAAGGGCAGGCTATTTCAGTTGCTGTCCATTCTCAGAATACTCTTGCGACCCGTTTTTTGCTCTCCATAAGTTTAAAGGGTAATCCAGACGTGGACCCCTTGCTCACGGTGCCTAGAGAGATATCAGCTATGCCTCACTGATGATGCCTAACAAGGCTGAAACAATTGTCTGGGGTTGCTGTATCTCTCGTGCAGAGAGAACTTGCTGGCATTTTGGATCTGGACTGCCGGTATGGGTGGGACCAGTCTGAAATGCTTCAGATATGTTCTCTCTGTAATTGCACAAGATGAGCTAAAACCAGCTTGTTTCTGAGCGGGGACCCACCGAAGGGCAGGCTATTTCAGCTGCTGTCCGTTCTCAGAATACTCTTGCGACCCGAAAATGTAGGACAAGCTAATAAAGTTTAACTAAAGTGGCCATGCATATCCAGAAACAGTTTGGAGCAAAACTGAATGTCTAACATTAAAAATCTAACTAAAGTGATCATAACAACATTAATAGAAACAGTTGGAGCAAACTGAAAGTCAATTAATAAAGTGTAATTAAAGTGACCATTGCAATATCCAGAAAACCAGTTTGGATTAAAACTGAATGTCTAGCATAAGGTGTCTAACTAAAGGGACCATAGCAATATTAATAAAAACAGTTTGGAGCAAAACTGAATGTTAAGCAATAAATGATTAACTAATGACAATTTGCAATATCAGTAAAACAGTTTGGAGCAAAATACTCTGACCTGTGCCTTGGCTGGTAAGCAGCAAAGAAAGAGGAAGTCATGTGTCTGTCAGGGCTTTATATATGGATGTGATGCCTGTTACTGATTGGTTTAAAGTTTATTGATTGACTTGTGCTGATGGAGGCATAAAGTAAAGAAAGTTATGCAAAATATGAAGCCTCTTGTCATGTGATAAAATTGATTATCACATGCTACAATATTAAGTCACAGTGCTCAGCATACTGAAATGTGTATGAATAAAAAAAACATCTTTTATGATAAATGCTATAGGGCATTTCTGAAGGCAACTTTGGTTTCTACCTTTAAATTCACCTAAAAGCTAGACTTTGGTATATTGTTTTATTCTTAACCTGCAAATCTGCTCCTTGCTTTTGAGCACAGGAAGTGATCCTGGACAAAAAACTGAAGACCACTTTCTTTCACCAATGATATAATGATACATCAGTTATAATACTCAGAATCTCCTGAACACATCATGAAATTCCTCAAATTTGACATGTCCAAGTCAAAGATTTCAATAATCATCCTCATTATGTATTAAAAGATGGTAAATTAACTCATCTGTAAATTTGTTGTTTCCAGAAGGAGCTGTCAGACCTGTGGTTTCATTTAATCCAAATTGGGACAAAATATTCACAGGCGAATCTCTCAGTCTCACCTGTAACGTGGATTCAGTGGGACGGGAAGACCAGAAATATATCTGGTACAAAGATGACAAGCTTCTACCCACCGGGTTAAAGCAGTTTCTAATCAAGTCTGCTGAGACAAAAGATAGCGGCAAATACCAGTGTCAGACCGCAACAAGTGACATAAGTGATGCAGTGAAGCTAGATGTAACATATGGTAAGTTTGCCAGTCTGGCTCCAACACAATCAATACACATTTTTATTTTCTAATATTTTTTGGTGATATTTTTATCTTCATAACGTGAAACAGCAGCAGCCCAGAGTTGGTGATCGATGGGTTTTTGCATTCCTGGTGATTTAGTGTATGGAAGCATCTGCAAGTCAGTGGTATTAAGCCATTTAAATGGACACAATTTTAGCTTAATGAGGCAGTTTTGGTGTATAGATCATGTCCCTACAATATCACTGCTCAGTTCTCTGCCATTTAGCAAATAAATCACTTTGTTTATGCATCCTAGGCATGCCTTCCTGCATGTGACTTACAATGCCTTCCTAAACACTTACTGTATAAAGTCATCTAATGTTTACACTTCCTTTATTGCAAATTCTGTTTAATTTAAAATTTCTTATCTAATAATGTGTTAATAGCTTGCAAGACCCTTCAGGAGCCCCCTGTGTGTGATTAAAGTTCAATTTACAGAGCAGGACATACAACTCTTAGAGTAAGTTACATCTGATTGAAAATGAAACTATAATTTATCATGCAGGCTGTGTCAGTCACAGCCAGGGGAGGTGTGGCTAGGGCTGCAAAAACAGAAACAGAAGTGATTTAATTCCTAAATGGCAGATAATTGAGCAGTGCAACATATTCTTCCATTTTTTTGCTTTAAGAACATAAATATCAACCTGGGAAAGTCTCAGAAGACATGACAAAAACATAAACAAGATATGTTCCCTTTGAACTGTTTATTACAATATTATCAGGGACTATTGGTGAATGTTAAGATGGCGGAGCACTAGTCTCCGTTCTTGGAATCTGACTTTACCAATTTCTCAGTAAACCTCACCTGTTGCACTTTGACCACTTAACCTCATATACTATGTTACCGACTAAATGAGATGTCAATTCTTGTAGAACACCATAAATATATAGAACGTGAAAGAAACAATGGAAAATAACGTGAGTTAGGTAAATACAGTGTTGTGTTCTGGAACACGGTCTGAAGTACTAATGAAGGGTCAATCACCATGGAAACAAGTGGAACCAGCAGAACATTCCATTAGTGACTCCACCTCTTCTACACCTTTGTGTCACTTTTCAGAAATGCCATTTTTATACATAACTATATGTAATAATAAGAACTACTTTGTCTAAGTAAAAGTTTATATGAGTACATTTGTTGGGTTGATTATTAATCAAAGATGCATAACAAGTTGGAAATTGCAACCATACAAATGTATAATGAAGAAAAAAAAACAACTCAGAGTGGACTGATTTATCAAAAGATCCTACCTCGGACATATATGTCACTGTTTTATTGACAGAATGGACCGATCAATAATCAGAAAAATGTGCCTTCAAGTTAATTGCAAGCTTTGGTGAACCCAAAAACTGCTAAACTAAGGATATTAGATATAGCAATTTAAAAAAAGAGTACAGGGAAAATGTCATCATTAGTGATGTCCCGAACGGTTTGCCGAACAGTTCGCCACAGATGGCGAACATATGCGCTGTTCGGTCCGCCCCCATGTTATCGTTGAGTAAACTTTGACCTTGTACCTCACAGTCAGCAGACACATTCCAGCCAATCAGCAGCAGATCCTCCCTCCCAGACCCTCCCACCTCCTGGACAGCATCCATTTTACATTCATTGTGAAGCTGCATTCTTAGTGAGCTGTCCAGGAGGTGGGAGGGTCTGGGAGGGAGGGTCTGCTGCTGATTGGCTGGAATGTGTCTGCTGACTGTGAGGTACAGGGTCAAAGTTTACTCAATGATGACATAGGGGGTGGACCGAACAGCGCATATGTTCGCCATCCGTGGCGAACCGTTCGGTGAACCGTTCGGGACATCACTAGTCATCATGCATAGAATCACAATAATACTATTATTATTATGTTATTATTTATATAGCGCCAACAAATTCCGTAACGCTTTACAGTGGGTGGACGAACAGACATGTAGTTGTAACCAGACAATGAATGTACTCTGTTCAGAAAGGAAAGATAATAGATAAAAAAAACACATACAAAAATCTAATTAAATATATTATCAGAAAGTACAAGAGAGACGAAGTGGGTAACTCAATATGGTGAGATCTCATTTTGCTAAAAATAAAACCTTCTAAACACCTTTGAAAATAGGTAAAATATAAAACGGAAGCTACTGAAACCAAACACTATGACCACTAACCTCTTAATAACATACCTTTCTTAAAAGAACATCACAAAATATTTAGAGAAAGAGGAAAGATTCAATATAGAGCACACACCATTACCCACAAAGGTACGTTTGAAACTGAAGTTTTTAATAATCACGACAATGATACTGACATATTGAAAAAAAATAAAAATAACATACAGGTATATAATAATTAATATGTTGGTTGGAGGTTATTTGATCCAAGGAGAGATCTGAATGTCTTTCTGGTGTCCAGGAGGAAGTTTTAAAATTATTGAAAAATCTGCAAACTGTAAACTAAGAGTCCAGTTTTTAGCAGAAATTTTAAAACAATTTCTATCTACTCTCAACAATGAGTAGGTACCTTCGCTTTGCACCAGCTGAACCATTTATTTTTCCATCTCTGATTTGGATCCTGATGGGTCAGACAGGGCACTAAACACATGTGGTGAGGAAGCCTCCTTCCTGATTGTAGATTAAAGTTAAGAAGCATTAGAGTAGATTAGCATTGCTCTTGCACTGATTCTTCCGGCCTCACATGATCTATTAGTTCTCTTTCTCCATCCATGACGAATCAAACACACTGGTTTCCCCCATAAAGTGGTTTAGAATATTTTGTATATATGCACATAGTGTTTTAGCTTCTCAAATCTCATCCCCCAACAACAAATAGTACATGGCTCTGACTCACGTGCTTGACACCTAACAATATTTGTTTTTCCAGACTGGATCATCCTGCAAGTCCCTCAGTCTGTTTATGAAGGAGATGATGTTTCTTTAAGATGTCATAGGAATCAAGGAGATCACACAGGAGGGACAATCATTTTTTACAACAAGGAAAATCCCGTTATACAGAAGTCAGAAATTGACTTGATTTTCTTTAAAAATGTCAGTATGAGCATGGTTGGAGAATACCAATGTGCTGCAGGATCAGCCACATATTATTCAGCTAAAGGAACGCTGAATGTCAGAGGTGAGAATTTCCCATTGCTTTTTGCACAATCTATAAAATGTGCAACAGATGAATAAAAGGTCAATTAGATGCTGGGAACCATGTGTTCCAATTTGTTAACTAAAATTAATTAAACCACACCAGATTCATTGGTTACTTCTTACACATTTCACTTAAAGACACCGAGTAAACAGATTTAACCCCTTACAGACACATGACATGTGTGACAATTCATTATTCCATTTTATTCCAGAAGTTTGGTTCTTAAGGGGTTAAAACTGCATTACAAATTCAAAAAAAAACAGACTAAAAGAAGTTCCATTTAACTTTACACATGTCAATCAAGTCACAGCTCATTTGCTGTCCCCTTCAAGCATCCATAGGACACACACCATCTTGCTACCTACCATGTATCTATTGATATACTTCAGGAGATAAGCAGTCAGGAGAGACATTACCAGGAGATAAGCTGCCAGGAAAGAAACTATCAGAAGAACAGTTCCAATAAATGCTGGTGGTTCCTTCAGGAATTGTACTGCTGCCACCATCACCATAATCCTGCAGTTGCACCACCAGCGGAATAGCAAGAAAGGCTATAGAAAGAGGCAGGTGGTGAGCAAGGAGTCCCTTATTATACCATACCAGGGTCAATTTACTTCACGTCTGATCACAAGTGGAGGCAGGGAGCGGTGGCCAGTGAAGAAGTGGTAGTGGTTATGGTGCTTGGAGTGTTCCTTTAAGAAGCAATACATGAATAGCTCAATATATCAGTCAAGATGCTTTTCTTGCATACTAGTAAATCAGTGTGTAAATCTTTTCTAGCTCATATTGTCTTTGCTGGGTCCACTTATTAAATCTTCTATCTATATATTTACTTTTTAATGAAAGAAAAAATATTTTTATTTAAAATATAATTCAGTTATTTATTAATATAATAAACTAGAATATTTGATGTGTTTTTCTCCTCTTAGAGCTCTTCTCAAACCCATTAGTCAATGTGAGCCAATATCCAGTAACCGAAGGTGCCAACGTGACCGTAACATGTGACACGGCTCTCAGCCCACACAGAGCGGCCACAGAATTACAGTTTGCTTTCTACAGAAACGGACAGAATGTGCAGGAATTTGGTTTCTCTAATAAATACCAGATTCAGTCAGTCCAACTGCAGGATACTGGAGATTATACCTGTCAAGTGAAAACTGCAACCGACACAGTGAGAAAAGAAAGCATTGCAAGACATGTCCAGATACAAGGTATAATTCTCACTGTCACCGGCTGTACCATTTTCTCTGTGTTTTTTACATTATCTGTGTACAGAAACAGATCACCGAATAAGAGGCAATGTTGCATTTTAAAGGGACAAGCACACCTGCTATTAACTGATTGACATGAAGGTGTTACGTATTTAACACCTTATTCTTGCGATCTCGGATGTGATGAGGTTAAGTTGTTGGGGAAATCAAACCAAGCGTTTGATGATATCCTGAGTATCTGCCCCTGTCCAGATTAAAAGTTTATACAGCGTGCACGCTTCCCGAGTAATTCACACCGGACACAAGATTCTGGTTAATTAATCAACTGAGGAATGTTTATTTTCGGGGGTTGGACCCCCTTATAAAGCATATAAATATGCATATAAATACATCATATGCATAATTATAGATAACAGAGAGGAATACATCAATAATTGGTTAGGTGTTAAGTGGTTTTAGTCAAAGCACGTCCTACTGATCATAACGTCACGCAGTGGGACTAGTGTCATAAAGTTCTCCCCAGATTCCAGCGCTGTCTTGTATCCTGTCGACGGGAGGGGTAACTTATAGCGGCCATTTTGAGTAGTTATTATTATAATGTGAGTTTGGTTAGTTAAATGGAGTAAATAGGCGTTTTACTAAAATCGTCTATTATGTCCTTAACAGTCCCCCCTTAAAATGACTATTTACGACAACTAATAACTGACCCTATACTGCCCCTAGAGAAAAATAACAAATGGCTAACATGTCCACCCGTCCAGGCCTCGAACGCTTCACTCCTCGGGTATCCCGCAGTGGCTAGTCCACCACATCTTCCACATCACACTTTTGCCTGTACAGACAGACACTATCCCTATATTGTCCCTATAGGGAGGTAATCGTATATTTAGTACGATGGGATTAGTAGAGGTGTGTGTGGCATATCACAGGCTTAATCGTCGATGTTTTGATGGAGCAGAGTTGGGGTGATGAGATTGATGGTCTGACCTACTGTTGTTTGTAGATATTTCTGCACACACGGAAACACACAGCAGACAAAGATGCTGAGTAACAACAACACTGCCAAGACTGCCATTCCCACTTGAAGAGACTTTTCTTCCAACCATTCAGCCATCCAAACCAATTATCCCATGAATTATTAACCCCTGAGTTACATTTTAATTCTTCTGAGAGATTTTTTAATTTCTCTATAGCCATGGTTACCTTACCATTTGGGCCAGTATTGTCTGGTATGAAGGTGCAACAGGTCATGGTATCAGGAAGAATCTTACAGACCCCCCCCCCCCCGTTTTACAGCCAATATCATATCGAAGGCTAATCTGTTTTGAAAGGTCATTTGAGAGGTAGCCTGTAACTGTTCTGCCAGGCCCTGGATGGCATCTCTGGTGTAATTAACAAACCACTGTTGATTATAATAAATGTAGTTTATCTAAATCAGATTTTTGTTGGCGATGATTATCGTAAGTATAGATTCAAACCCTGCTGCTATTTCGTCTCTTGCTTTAAATTAATTGGGAACCCCCCTTGGCACTCCCACGGCATAAATATAGATGTGAGGGTCGAAACTGCTTTTTACGGGAGTATCACGCTTTACCCTGGGGTGTATCAGTGATGTGTTTGAGAAGCCTTGGTGATTATCTGATTTTATATGAATTAGCATAATAACTTTGGCTACGGTAAACTCTCCCCACCAGGGGCCTAGCAATCTGGGTCTAAGTTTCATGTCACCACAAAGCCAATGAATATCACCAAGGGATCGGGTCTGTCTAGTTATTAGATGGATTGGGGGTTCCCGGCGAGTAGTACAATATCCTGGAGGAAATGTTCCCATAAAAACACCTGACTTACCCTGTGTTGTATAACATGTGTAATTACCGGGATACACCGTGACTCCATCAGGTGGTTTGGTATCCCTCTGGATTAGTGGATATGGTCTTTTCCATAACTCACACATAGATGAACCATTATTTGACTGTATGTAGAGGCTTAGGAAACAGTATAATTTGCATTATACCTCATATAATAGTCATAGATTGATGTCTGAGAAACCAGTCTCTACTGCCATAGTGTCTTCGAAAGTGGGGTTGGCTATTGCAACCATGTCTTTGAGAGTCTTAATATGTGGTTTACGAGGACTGACAGTCATGTGTTGTGTGTATACCCATTCAGGTGAGTTGTACATGTCTTGTAAATAAAAAGTGCCTAATGTATTATATGAACCACCCCCCTTCCAATACATTCCCATAACATATTTCCCAGCATGCCCAGGACTAGGATGTTCAATATTCAGGGTTAATTTTATAGGGGTTGATCCCGTCGGCTTACGCATAGTCATTCTGTCTAAGAGTGATTTCCCAGTTACGTCCAGTTTTTTTAAGGCACTCTGTGGTCTATAACCCCATGCTCAACCTGTATTCCAACCCACCGCTCTCCAAGAGCTACAGTGATGTCCCCACTTGTCACACAGATATATGGGTCCTTTTTTGTTAGGTATATCTTTGTATACTGCTGAAAATAAAGATTGTGGGAATGTACAAGAAACAATATTATGTGGGGATATTTATGGGATAATAATAGTAACAGTGAGAATTGCCCACTAATTCAATTCTCAGACCCAAAGATCGTTTATCGTGTTAAGTGGAATGTATTTCATATAAATAATATCACAATGTTATAAAAATAGATTTTATTTTATAATAACAAATTAATTAATAATAATATGTAACATGCGTGACAATAATCAATGAATAAGGTATGCAATACAAAGGAATGGCTATACACGTTTCAATGGCTAAACAGCATTTTCTGTCAAGTCTTACACGATTTATGAGGTATCTTTCACAGAGAGAAAGCTTTTCACAGCGAAGGGCCATAAAACCCTGGCTAACAGTTAGAATAACCCTTTCAATGCTGGCTAGATCTCCTAGTAATTAAGATCTATTCTTATGTAATTTTAAATAAAATAACATTTAAACCAGTTCATTAGTCATTTCCTGGAACCATCCAATAAGAGAATCTACCATATTTTTACAAAAGCAGAATTTGTTTTTAATTTGCCTAAATAGATCTTTTATCTTATTTTATAGCAAATCAATACACCTGGATAAAAACAGTGGTATGCTAACACGTGATAATATCACATCAATATATAACTAGAAAAGCTACAATTTCTGGGGAAATTGTGTGAAGTGTTCTTGCCTCCACCAGTAGTCTACAACTGGAGTGGGCGGAGTAACTGTTATCATTTATATAGCACATTTAATTGCAACGTTGTTGCACAGTTACATTAAACCATACATTTATAAAAACATTAGCAGGTGTTCAAAAGGCCCTGTCTATGACATCACTTGCTGCTGCAGCCTGGCACAGGTCAGAGTATTTTGGCGGTTGCCATCTTCAAACGGTCGTATTTTAAAAACTATAACTCCTACAGCGAAGAGCTTTATATTGTGAGAATCACAAGACCCAGACCTACATTTTGATGCATAGTATGTCTCTGAAGTATTAAAATGAAGGCACAGTCGCAGTTTAGAAATTGCACTTCAAATTTGAGCTTTGCAGAGTGAAGTTTCAATGAATGTCACTGGACGGCGTTGTTGCAAACAAATGGTCATATTGTGAAAACTATCAGGACTACGGCTTAGCCGTTGACATGTTTAGTGGCAGCAGGGATAGCTGAACGCTTTGATATAAGATTTGTGTAGGTGGGCCTGAAAATAAGGGAGTGGTGGCAGTTTAGAAATCATGTCCTGATTTTTCAGCTTTTGCCAGCTCCCACTCTAGCTTTGTCATTCATTACTATGGGACAAATTGCGCCACAAGAACGACGATATTCCGTGAACCATTCAGCGAAACGTTCCACAATGTAATAGCAATCCGATCGGGAACAATCTGCACGTTTTGGTAAATTTTTGTCTATGTAGTGTAAAAACTGTGGGAGGAGTTAGGGTGGCAAATTTTGCTATAATAATAATAATAATAATATATATGTGAGTGAAAACTATCAGGACTATTTAGCCGTTGAGTTTAGTGGCAGCAGGGATAGCTTGATATAAGATTTGTGTAGGTGGGCCTGAAAATAAGGGAGTGGTGGCAGTTTAGAAATCATGTCCTTAATTCTAGCTTCTTAATGGGACAAATCCACAAGAACTATTCCGTGAACAGAATGTAATAGAATCCGTTCTACGTTTTGGTAACTATAGTGTAAAACTTCAAATTTAGTTAACTAAGATTTCTTAATATGGAAATCTGACCGTGATTTATCCAGTCATATCATGCTATTAGTACATTTTAATTAATTTAATTAATTAAATGAAACCAGTAATAATTACCAGTTGAGTAGATATTTCATCCGATTGGTAGATAGTCTCAGGAACTTATTTGGATGTCTCTCTGCATGGAGGTGTGTGGGAATTTGTGTGTCCTAGAATGTCATTGCTCCCCACTGCTCACTTCTTTGCTTTCTTTGCATACCCTTCTTCTCCCTTTGTCCTAACTTTTAAAGGGCCAGACTCTCTGTACGTCATCAGTTGATAACCCAATAGAAGCACTAGAGGTGTGGTTATCTTCCAGATTGCAATTTAGTTATTTGGTTCTATAATAGCAATCCGGGCAATCTGTCCTTGTCATTGCTCCCCACTGCTCAATCCCCTTGCATTCAACTTTTAAAGGGCCAGACTCTCTGTACGTCATCAGTTGATAACCCAATAGAAGCACTAGAGGTGTGGTTATCTTCCAGATCGCAATTTAGTTATTTGGTCTATAGAGGGCAGTCTTGTCCCACTAAACATACCTATCCAGGAAAGAGTTAACTTTTCCTGGTGGCTATTTTGACGTCATTTTGCGTTATCTTTATCGTGGTCATAATTAAAAAAATTTTTGTCAGATCAAACAGTTTCTTTAAGTTTTGTCCAGACTTAGTGTCCGCGATTCCTGCTATAATTTCTGATATGGCAGATCATGAACTAAGTTTAACCTCAAACTTACAATGGTACCTTATACATATAGACAGTAAAATGTAATTATTTAATCTTCTCTGTCACAAATGTCTGGGTTTAGAATTGATCTATTCCATTAGCATTTTAGACAGTCTATCCAACCCCCGTTCTCCTTATCACTTGGTTTGTTTATACTATGCATTCCTTTAGCTCTGGCAAAGTGGTTAGTTTTACAGATAGAAATCTTGTGTCTTTTTGTTAACTTGAAAATAACAAAATGGAGTCTGGTCTGTTCAGAGTGACTCAGAATATACACTTTTAATTTCTATCATAGCACAAGATGTCTGCCAATATAAATACCCTGACAATTACAATAATCAAATGTAAAGGTAACGACATGTGTGTTGGATGAATTGTACCAAAATGTATAAACATGATTATCTTTGGTGATTGCAACCTGTTGGGCCTTTATCAGACCCACTAGCAGCATGAGACATAGGAAGCTTATGTTGTGGCAGGGTCCGTTCCCTCTGTAGCTGGAACCTTTTTACAATGGGATGCGTGTATCCAGTTGGTCTTTCCCTCTAGTTTCACTGAAGTAGAGGTCAGGAGAACCTGGAATGGACCGTCAAATCTTGGTTTTAAGGTGTGCTTCCTTAGGAATTTCTTTATCAGAACCCAATCACCAGGAAGTAACTTGTGAGAGCCTGTGTCAGAATCAGTTTATGCTAAGACCAATTCATACAGCACTATTCTTTGGATCCCGAGCTGTACTCCGGCTCCTATCCTGGGAGGTTAATCTTGACCGCAACTTATTTATTAATTACTCCCCGGTCTCTGTAGCGGAGTTATTATACTTCTTATCAGCCGAAGTAGGCACTCTAGCAATATCCTAGGCACCGCAAAAATTCTTTGAAAACCAGCCAACGCCGCTATACATACCTGGGCTGGCACTCATTCTAGTGCTTCTCTTACGACCATGAAGCACTGTGTATGTGGCTACAGATCGTGCAGGCATATTTCCGTCTGCACTTTCTATATACACAACTTATGATTGTGTATTTATCAAAACCAAGCATTGGTTACACGTGATTGACCCCCGTTGTATGCAACTTGAATGTCAATTTTAGGATTCAACTCACTATATATTCATACGATTGTCAAATGCCTAGCTAACATCACTGCAAAATCGTTTGTTTTTTGCATACAGTGTTAGGAGGAGAACCCTGAAAACTTTTGAACAGGACCTCCTTATTTACCACTATTACTTAGTATACCTCTAGACAAAATATTCCAAGTATTGAATTCAACATTAGCCAGTGACTCATGTTGGTCTAGATTGTGGTAATAGATTCAGTGTGAGTCTTTGTTTCCTTTATTGACATTTTCCTCATATGGATAATTGTTACAAGTTGTCTTACACTTTGTGTCATTTCAGAGCCATCTGTTAACACAGCACTCTTACTTATTAGTAATATCCACTTATTAGGTGGATCTTTGTACATAGTATTCACTTTATTATTTTTATAGCGTTTCAAATCAATTGTTTTTTAACTATACTATTAAAAGCTATATTTTAATACATAAGTATTACAAGGTGAGACACATTTGACAAGTGCACCTTTTGCAAGCAGACTTTCAACTTGTTTTGAGATGGCTAATGCTTGAGCTGGTTTCAAAGGATACTGAGGTCTGCGTGGTGGATTTGACCCTTCATAGAGCTTGACAATCACAGGAGGAACTTGCAGACGGCCAATGTCATCGGGGCCAGTAGTCCAAAGGTGGGCCGGGACGTGATCTAGAGCACTGGGAGATTCTGGGACCTCTGAACCTTCCTCGTTAGCATCTATGTGTAACAGTAAAGGAAGAGGATTCAAGGCAGAGGTGTCTTTCCTGGAAAGAGGGGTTAGTAACTGAACCTGCCCATCTGGAGTGAAGGAGATGGAGGCTTGTAACCAGGACAGAACATCAGCACCTAACAGATTAATAGGACAGGTAGAGGATATAACAAACCGTGTGATAATATCTGAACCCACCCACAGTAATTTAGTTAGTGGGTTGTTCCGGGGGGTACCATGAACCCCCACACACGAAACATCAATGTAAGAGAGGAAAGAAGCATCAGGCAGGTCTTGTTCTCTGAGAACACTACGGGCTGCGCCTGTGTCAACTAGGAAGATCGTGGGGTGACCTTCTATGGGTAGGACTACTGTAGCTAAGGGACCCCCTTTTGCCCTATAGACACTGCCATGACAAGGGTGTTAGACACAGGTTTGCCAGTTACCCTTTGCACAAGGTCCAGATGGGACTGATTTGGCACTGTGTAGTGGTGGTTTGGTTGAGGGACAAGCAATGTTAGACAATTAGGTATCACAGCATGTTGAGGCGGTTCAGGGTGAGCTGGAGTAGAATAAGCTCCTGACTGGCAATATTCTGGGTGGGGATCGGCTGGTGGTTCTTTATAAAGTTGATTCTGAGGCATGTAGCAGATACCAGGACCACCGGGTGGTGGAGGATAGTAAGCATGGTAGTACAGATTATCATAGTACGATTGAGGGTGAGGATTCGGTGGGTGGGAACATTGGTGTGTGGGACCATTAGACCCCCTGGGTACTCTACACATCCTAGGGTGAGGACATTCATTCTTAAAGTGGCCAGGTTGTTTACAATTAAAACAAGTTTTCAACTGAGCCCTCGGGGCTTGGGCAACCGGATGGTGAGCCTGTGGGACAGGATATCTGGCGGGACCAGGGTCAGGTCTGATTGCGGGATTATGAAGAGAAAACATTAAGGGGGTTGTCCTTTTTGACTGTGGTGTTTGAACAGATTCAAGACCCTTTGCCACCAAGAGGAGGGTATCTAAAGGAATGATTCTATACTCGGGACGTGAAAGGACCAATCCCTTCCTAATAGCATCCTTAGGACCTGCAAAAAAGGCAGCTGACAACATCTGAGTATGGGCCTTGTTATAGCGACTAAAACCTAGGTCTGAGAATGTTTGGGTCAGTCTAGCGTGGTATTTCTCAACCGATTCTGTTTTGTCTCGAACAATGTCATTAATACAGGTGGACTGGTCAGCCAGCTTGTCTTGTGCCCAGGTACGTAATTGTTCGCAGAAGGTAATACCTGATTAAAAGTCATTATCAGAAATGAGGCATGAATCATCAAAACTCCTCTCCATTATGGGCCAATAAGTATCTCCTGCTTTGATTTCACATAAACTGTACGAATTACGCCATGCAGCAGAATAAGTTTTACGAATCTGTGCGATACGGTGGAAAAAGGGCACGGGCTGATTCTATGGGTCAGGTTGGAAGGCTACCAATGTAGTTGCCTGGGATGGATTGGAAGTCACATATATCATTGGAGCACCATCAGAATGGTTGTGGGCATTTTAGCTCTCTCGGGGGGTGCTCTGATTGGGCACGGGGGCGGCATGAAGAGGAGTAGGAGTGCGGTGGATTGGCAAAATATTTCTCCCCTGGGTAGTATCATTGTTGGGAACAGAGGGAAACGGCAAACCGTGGAAACTAGCCAGACTGGGGGAAGTTGTGGCCTGTGCGGCGGCAGCACCAGTTTCAGGTGGTGTACCAGTGTTAGCAAGCTGTGTATGCATTTCAGGAGTGTGTTTAAGAATGTGTCTTAGAAGTGTGATTCCAGACTGTATATCCTGTTTCTTCTGTGTTCTTGTTTATAAGGCATTCTCTGATCTCTATTTTTCACGTCAACGTTTTAAAGTGACCAAAGGGATCAGATGGGTGTTCATTACTATAATGAGTGCTGACCTCATCCTAGTGGTCAATTGTATCAAATTCCATCAAAAGATGGCATAGTTGCATCACAATAATTTTCATTGCAATTCCAATTACCACTCTGCCTAAGGGGTTAATTGAAATCTATGACAAAAATGACATGGAAAACTGTTATTTTTATAGTCCATCAATAATAGATGGCTGTCACATTTCAAAGG